TAGACTACGCCGCTAGCCTTGTTCCCATCCGATCCCATCCCATCCCATCCCATCCCATCCCATCCCATCCCATCCCATCCCATCCCATCCCATCCCATCCCATCCCATCCCATCCCATCCCATCCCATCCCATCCCATCCCATCCCATCCCTATCCCATCCATCCCATCCCATCCCATCCCATCCATCCCATCCCATCCATCCATCCCATCCATCCCATCCATCCATCCCATCCCATCCATCCCATCCCATCCCATCCCATCCCATCCCATCCCATCCCATCCCATCCCATCCCATCCATCCCATCCATCCCATCCCATCCCATCCCATCCCATCCCATCCCATCCCATCCCATCCCATCCCATCCATGCCATCCATCCCATCCCATCCCATCCATCCCATCCCATCCCATCCCATCCCATCCCATCCCATCCCATCCCATCCCATCCCATCCATGCCATCCCATCCCATCCCATGCCATCCCATCCCTCCCATCCCTCCCATCCTATCCATCCCATCCCATCTATCCCATCCCATCCCATCCATCCCATCCCATCCCATCCCATCCCATCCCATCCCATCCCATCCCCTCCCCTCCCATCCCTCCCATCCCATCCCATCCCATCCCATCCCATCCCATCCCATCCCATCCATGCATGTGGGCAGAAATACAACAGCCTCCTTCCCATGTTCTCCTGTTCTCGTGTTCTTCCATTCCATCTCTTCCCCTGTTCGTCTCCTCGTCACCACTTTCCCTCTTCCCCTCCTCTTCTCTGCTTTCCTCCATGTCTATTCATCCACCCATCTTCAGGAAACTCAACGACAACCGTCTTGCGGGGACGATACCTGCTGCAATCACCATACTCACTAATCTCTCATACCTGTCAGTGTTACCTCCTCTGTCGTCACCAACACTCATGCACTATTTGTCAATAATCTAAAATGTGGTTGAGTAATCTGGAGAGCATGGTTGTGTTGCCTGCTGAGTCCACTCAAAATACATTTCTGCTGGGTCACCTTTGGTTTGAATTCCGCTGAAACATACAGTTCTAGCCACCTCATGCAATTACTCCAAACAACTGTCAGTGCTACCCATCTCTTCTCTGTGAAACGCCACCCCTACTGCTCACTTTCTGCCACACACACATCTCTTCCTTTCTACCATCGACACATCTCTTCCTTTCTACCATCGACACATCTCTTCCTTTCTACCATCAACACATTTCTTCCTTTCTTCCACCCACACGTCTCTTTCTTATCATCACCTTTTTCTTTACAAGGGGTTTTTTTAGCAAGCCTATGACAAACAGCAACATCTCTTTACTAAACTACAGCTGCTATCTCTTCCTTTCTGCTTGCTGAAGGCCGCAAATTGATGGGTGTCAACTCCATCAACCGTTCTGATTGAATGGCATTCACTCCTTTCTGATTGAATGGCATCCACTCCTTTCTGATTTAATGACATCCACTCCTTTCTGATTGAATGGCATCCACTCCTTTCTGATTTAATGACATCCACTCCTTTCTGATTGAATGGCATCCACTCCTTTCTGATTTAATGGCATCCACTCCTTTCTGATTGAATGGCATCCACTCCTTTCTGATTTAATGACATCCACTCCTTTCTGATTGAATGTCATCCACCCCTTTCTGATTGAATGTCATCCACTCCTTTCTGATTGAATGTCATTCACTCCAAAGAAATGATGGGAGGAATCACACAGCAGTAACACACTCAGCTGATCCCACACAGCACTAACACACTCAGTTGCTAACACACTCAGCTGATCCCACACAGCGCTGAAATTGGATTCAGCTGATCCCACACAGCGCTGAAATTGGATTCAGCTGATCCCACACAGCACTGAAATTGGATTTGCTGACTCAACACGCACAGCTGATGATGTCAAACAGCATGCCCCGGAAGAGGTACTCCATTCAGCGAGATTACTTTTGAGTCGAGTCAAAGGCTGATGCCACACGGCATGCCCCGGAAGAGGTACTCCATTCAGCGAGATTACTTTTGAGTCGAGTCAAAGGCTGATGCCACACGGCATGCCCCGGAAGAGGTACCCCAATCAACACGCACATGCTACTCCTGTCAAGACGCACAAGCAGACTCCTCCTTCCCACCCACCGCTTCCCGTCCCGCCTTCTTTTGCACCACAGGCAAGAGGAGAGCTGCCCTCCTTCCGCCACATGGCCCTCCTCACATGGAGTTTTGAGACATCTCAAAGCTCGCCTTGACAACGACCAGCTTACGGGAGAGCTGCCCTCCTTCCGCCACGTCACCCAACTCACATCGCTAGACAGGCTGTCTGCTGCTTACAACTACCTCACAGCCACAGCCACAACTACTCTCTCCCTCCCACCTTCCCCTGGCACCACAGGCACCTTGACAACAACCAGCTCACGGGAGAGCTGCCCTCCTTCCACCACATCACCCAACTCACATCGCTAGACAGACTGTCTGTTGCCTACAACTACCTCACAGCCACAGCAGACGCCTTCCCGTTCAACACCACCAGCCCAGACCCAGACGACCCCTCAGGAGGCCACAGCTCGTGCGTATTCACCCACAACTGCCTTGAGTGGGTCTACTGCGGCCATGGGCTGAACCAGAGGCGTGACAGTGAGTGCCGGGCGTTCTGTGGGGTGCAAGTGCAGCCGCTCAAAGAGCAGAGGCTCACCCCCCCGTGCAGCGGGCATGGCATGTGCTCCTTTGTGCCGGACCCGTCTCACACCATGTATCCTTGTGATGAAGACGAGGAGTTCTGGCCACCCTACTGTGAACCTGTGGGGCAGTGCACCTGTGATGACGGGTACACGCCAGGGACTGCTGCTGGCACGTGCGTCTCTCACGATACCCTGCTGGTGCCTCAAGGTATGCTTGCAGATTAATGCCCTCGCTAGGTGATGGTTATCTCTTGTTCCTTTTTTGGCCCTTAGTTCGTCCTTGCTGCATCTTGTTTTTCAATCCCTTCTTGCCAACATGCCCCACGTGCCTCTGGCTTCCACCGGCCTGTGGAAGGGACTCAGTAGGCCATGGGAGAGTGGCCATGGGAGAGTGGCCGAGCGACGCCTCCTAGCCAGTTCAGCCCGTGGGCTCGCACTGGGTAGTGTGACTCGTGCTGGGTAGTGTGGCTCGTGCTGGGTAGTGTGACTCGTGCTGGGTAGTGTGACTCGTGCTGGGTAGTGTGACTCGTGCTGGTTAGTGTGACTCGTGCTGGGTAGTGTGACTCGTGCTGGGTAGTGTGACTCGTGCTGGGTAGTGTGACTCGTGCTGGGTAGTGTGACTCGTGCTGGGTAGTGTGACTCGTGCTGGGTAGTGTGACTCGTGCTGGGTAGTGTGACTCGTGCTGGGTAGTGTGACTCGTGCTGGGTAGTGTGACTCGTGCTGGGTAGTGTGACTCGTGCTGGGTAGTGTGACTCGTGCTGGTTAGTGTGACTCGTGCTGGGTAGTGTGACTCGTGCTGGGTAGTGTGACTCGTGCTGGGTAGTGTGACTCGTGCTGGGTAGTGTGACTCGTGCTGGGTAGTGTGACTCGTGCTGGGTAGTGTGACTCGTGCTGGGTAGTGTGACTCGTGCTGGGTAGTGTGACTCGTGCTGGGTAGTGTGACTCGTGCTGGGTGGTGTGAGCTCGTGCTGGGTAGTGTGACTCGCGCTCCTCCGCTTGGCACACTGAGTCGATTTTGAGCCGCCTAAAAAAAAATGGAAACGTGTGCTGACGGGTCAGACCTCTGGCTCTCCACTCAAGCCACACCTGCGTCGTGTGTGTTTGCGCCTCTGTGAGCCTCTGTGTGCATGCTGATCAACCATTGTGAGCCTCTGTGAGCCTTTCCTCCACATTCGTTACTTACCATCCCAAACACCTTGAGTTCAGCCCACCCTGCCATATCGGCTTGTCGCGCTAAATCTTGCTTTGTACTGTGTGTACCATGCTGTACCGTGCTGACAGGAACACCAATCCAAAGCCCTGTCGACCATCCTGACTACCAGCCAGACAGAATCAAGAATCCTCCTAACGGCAAGTGGCACCATACACGGGGCGCTTGTTCCTCATAAGCATAGCAGTTGCCATTGGGGTTGTGCTTGTTTGTTCTGTGGGCCAATGCACCCACCCACAACCGTCAAGACCTCACTGTTCTTATCGCATCCCGACTTCTATCACGTGCAACTCAACTCCAGTCCCACTGCCCCATCTCCATCACAACCTTTGTGAACCATGTTCACATCCCACTGCACTCCCACATCATAATGCTCCTTCTTTGCCTGCATCCGCTCCTCCCAGCCTCCCGCCCTCTCTTCATCCATCCTGCAGGCACCAACTTCCCCTTTGAGCCGCCAGGCACTACCATCGTGGGGTTGATTCTGTCTGATCTCCAGGCGCCTAAAAACCTGCTGCTGCTCTTGCTCCTTCTTCCACCGCTGTTGCTGGCCTTCTCACTGCCACATCTTCTGAGGCGCCTCAAGAATCGACCGTCCACGCGCTACTTTTTTTCAAAGAGAGCCCTCGCTGCCCAGCAAGCTGCCATGGGTGTGGAGATTACTTGCCAGTGCAGGACTGTTATGCAGGAATAATCTGTACACGTTGATGGGACCATGTGCCATGTGGGAATGAATTTTGTAGCGAGATGAGTCTTTAGATAATGCTTTGGATTTTATTCCTTTGAAGCGTATGCGTTATTGCTTTTTTCATTCTGTCTCTGACAAAATAGAACTGAAATCAGAAACGAAGAATGTGGGTACGGCGATGCTACCTTTGCTGCATTGTCAACGTCTCTGCTTTCAAAATATTTCTTTTTTTAGAAAGTGTTTCATTTTCAAGATTTATCATTTATGCATGCGAACCTCCTATGAAAACAAACAAACCATGGTGTCGAGCGACAAGCCAAGCAATCACTCAAACAAATATGGTGCTGTGAAGGGCATTGTGATGCCAACCCTTGATTCCATAGTGCAAGAAAAACCCATGTAGCCGCACTTTCTGTTTCCCAATTTTCAGTCCTTTCTCGCATGGTCCCATCCTGCGTACACAAACTCCTTGGCAAACTCCTGCACCTTCCAGGCAGCAGCAGCGGCGGCCACAGCCAGCAGAGCAAGCGGCACACGAGCACGCAGGGAGGTGGAGGCGGCAGCAGCAGCAGCAGCGGAGAGCAACGAGACGGCGGGCAGCAGCAGCTGGAGGCACTGCAGGTTGGCGAAGGTGGCGGAGCAGGATGTGCAGTGGGCGGTGTGCGAGGCCATGCGCTCCAACACCACCTCCTTGGCGGCCGGCTGGGGGGGCAGCGACACATCTGAGAAGGCCGGCGGGTACTCCACGGCTCCACCTGGTGCACGTGGGAAGGAGGTTGTGGACAGATGGATGACATGTACAGGTCAGGTTGATGGTGGACAGAAGCATTAACAGGTGAGGCAAGACGGGATGGCATACGGCACGACAAGGAGGGATGGCACGAGAGGGAAAACAAAAAAGTAGAAGTTTGAAATATAAAGCTAGCCAAGTATGCTAGTTGGCCCTCAAGTAAGCTCTGGTGTGTTGGTCATTCTCAGCCTCGCTAGCCTTGCGCTCTCGTTGGTTAACCAAAGCAATTGGCTATACTCGTTTCACCCAATCGGGACATCCATGACATCAGAAAGCACAGGCACATATTATCTCCAAGCAAGCACAGCTGGCAAGAAATACCTGAAAAGGATCCTACTTACTACACAACCACCTGGCTCCTCTCATGAAGCAACCACTCGTGTTCGGGACACACCTGCATATTTGGAGAGCCATTGCCGGAAGGCAACCACAGGGAGGTCAGCGTTGGTGGGCATGTAAAACGCCCTCCACGCGCTCCCCCTCACAACCCCTGCGCCCCCCGCTTCACTTCGCCCACCCTCCGCCGCACCTCCCCCCTGCTGTGCCCCGCCCTTGCTCGCCCGCGCCTCCTCCATCTGCTGCTCCCTCTCCTGCAGCACTCGCTCCTGGCAGTGCAGGAAGTAGGAATCGCCTGATGGGCATGGCGCGGGACACACATGGCACCCCAGGTGATGTGACAAGAACCGGAAAGAACACCACAATCATAAGGCTATCATCTGTGATCACTGATTCCGTCACCGCATCGTACACCTGGTGCAAGCGGAGGTGCCGCACTCACCATCGTATATCTGGTGCAGGCCGATGTGCCGCAGCCAGCGCGGCATGGAGGGCAGCTTCTTGCCGTCGCCGGGCCTGACCAGGTTCACCTGCACGACGATGCTGCTGCCCGGCGCGCTGGGCGTGATGTACAGCAGCAGCACCAAGCTCGTGTTCGCCGCGGCCTTCCTCTGCAGGAAGGGGAACTTGGGGGGCGGCGGGCTGGGGGGGAAGGGGAGAAGGGAGGGGGGAGATGGCTTTTGAGTGAGTCGACTAAAAAACACACCAGGTTCACATGCACGACGATGCTGCTGCCCGGTGCGCTGGGCGTGATGTACAGCAGCAGCACCAAGCTCGTGTTTGCCGCGGCCTTCCTCTGCAGGAAGGGGAACTTGGGGGGCGGCGGGCTGGGGGGGAAGGGGAGAAGGGAGGGGGGAGATGGCTTTTGAGTCGACTCAAAAACTGACCAGGTTCACCTGCACGAAGATGCTGCTGCCCGGTGCGCTAGGCGTGATGTACAGCAGCAGCACCAAGCTCGTGTTCGCCGCTGCTGCCCCGGCGGAACCCCACTTAGGAGGCATGACTTTGCGTGGCAGCAGCTTGTTTAGTAAAATGTTTTTTTGTGTTGGTAGGCTTGCTTAGGACCTTTGTAGAAAAAATATTGGTGGTAACTAGTTTCGGCTTTGAGCCTTCTTCAGACCACAAAGGAGAAAAAGAGAAAGCAAGCACCCTAAATACCAAAGCCCGAGGCTCCGACGCGAGGCATTCCTTCGCGGGGCTGGGATGGCAGGGAAAATCTAGATAGAAACAATAGAAATGAAATCTACAGTAAGCTAGCACTTATGAGCAGAAATTATATAATTGCCTACTCGTTTAGGTAACCTCCATGCGATGATGTTTCTTCTTGTAGAAAATACTCCGTGTGACATTGTAACGAGATGACTTTTGAGTCGACTCAAAATGTTCCCCAGGTGCGAACGGTCAACCAGCAGGTTGAGCAGAAGTTTCAGCACGAGGGGGCCACGGGTAGAAGAATTGCGCAAAGCGGAGGCACGTTGGAGTAATTCCCCACGGTTGGAGAAAAGCACTGTCTTGAAGATTGGAAGGAGAAACTTCTCAGGATGCCCACGTGCTCGTAAACGAGCAAAGAAAAGTGCGCGGGAGTGTAAGAAGTCAGTGCGTGAAGAGGAGCGTAGCAGGAAACGCTGTAGCTCACTCCGAATGAAACCCAGTTTGGTGGTGCGAGTATGGTAGGATTTAAACGGCAGGTATAAGTACCGGTTCATTGGCTTCTGGTACAGCTTCATGTCGAGTGTTCCAGTAGTAGAGAACCGTTCCCCCTTGAAAACCGTAAGATCCAGAAAGTCCATGGTAACGTCAGAAACCACCCAGGTTAGTCGAATTGAAGGATGTAAAGAATCGAACCGTTGACGAAAGCACGAAAAGTCTTCCTTTGTTCCCTCCCACAGAATGAGACCATTGTCAATAAAGCGAAAGTGGAGAGCGGGAGAAAAACGAAGCGAAGCGTGCAGTTGAATGTCAAGGTAGCTCAGGAAAAGCACCGCGAAGCAAACAGCCACTGAAGTGCCCATCGCAGTGCCTTGAATCTGGCGGAAAAACCGGCCGTTGTAAGAAACGTAGCTGTTGAACATCACCCATCTGAGCAAACGGACGATGACTGGGGCCAATGGATGTCTCTCCTTTTGAAGAAAAAAGGCGACAGCGTCTATCCCGTCCCACAAGGGAATTGACGGGTAGAGCGATTCCACGTCATAAGACGCCAGCAGCATGTTAGGTGAAAATGAAAATGAACATTGCTCGAGATGAAGAATCAGGCTCTGGGAGTCCTTAACATAGGTCGGCTGTTTGAGGACCAACGGGCGTAGGACTGAATCCAGCCAGCGAGAAACGTTAGTAATTATCCAAGAATGGCAAGCCGCGATAGGCCTCCCAACAGGAATTTTCTTATGGATTTTCAGCAGCACGTAGAAAGCTGGAACCTTCCAGCCATTCTTAGGTTGATGAAAGAAAGAATCCCAAATTCTGGATTTAATGACACAGCTCCACTCAGATCGAATAGAATGAAGCTCTTGGAGAATGTTAGTAATGGGAACCGTCGAGTATTCCTTGTAGACCGTGTTATTGAGCAGATGCTTCAGACATTGATCCTGATAGTATTCTCTGCTCATGACAGTTAGTCCAAGGTTTTTTTCCGCCGGCTTGAAAATGAGATTAGGATTGTTAGCAAGTCGTCGCAGCATCGGGAGCACGTTCTTAGACTTCCGTGTGAGTGAAGTGAAAGTTTGTCCAGCAATTTCTTTAACGGCTGCTTCTTTAAACACCTCCAGCGCGGCTTCAATTTCAGGTGAGGCTGGTGGAGGGTTCCAGTTAGTTCTCTTAGGTAGCTTGTACCCTGAGTAACCGAAAGAGTCAGATCCATTAAACAGGTACATGGTACAAACACTTCTAAAGAAATCAGAGATCTCTGCTTCGAAACTGGCGACAGTACAAATTACAGGTACGGGGATGAATTTCAGTCCAAGGCGCAGAAGATTAAGTTCCTGTCGTGTGAAAGAATGATCACTGTAGTTATGGATACCGCGGTTGGTGATCCGACATTGCAGTTGGTACTCGGTTTGTCTTCCGAAGAGCACCAAAGCAAATGAGTGCACATCACCCATTACTGTCGAGTCGTTTTTCTGCGGCCTCCGCCTCCCCCGTTTTTTGTCACAGGTTCCTTGCGGGATGAAAAGGAGGAGGAGCCGTTGCGTCCAGTCGACTTAGAGCCGTTGCGAGCAGCTGTCTTAGAGTAAGAGCGACCCACGGTTTTAACCGCTGATGCTTCTGCTTCGTCAACCTTCTGCTTCATCTTGAGTCTGCTTCCCAGTCTTTTTGCCATTAAGGCCCTTGTCATTGGATTTGCCGTTGGCTTTCGGAGTCGAACGAGACTTCTTGCCTGTGCAGGCGTTTTTCCTGACATGGATACCGGAAATGTTAGACTTAGATTTAGGATTTCCAGAAAAAGCAGCCTTATCCTTGTTGTTGTAGCCGGTCTTTCTCGCAGGTGTCTTAGTCGAAGGCTGCTTCATGAATTTCTGCACCTCTTGACGAGCGATCTCACGGACCGTAGGTTCAACCGGCAGGTTCTCAGCTTCCTCAACAGCAGCCGTTTTCTTAGCGTCAAGCTCCTCCTTCTTCTGTTTCAGGAGGACTTCCGCCATGTTGGTTTCCATGTAGACAATCGAAACGGAATCCTTAAACTCCGTCAGAACGCGTGCCTTGAAAACATCTAGGCTGTCAATGAGTTTTGGGTTCTTTATGCCGAGATCTGACTTCTTGTTCAGGTTGATGAAGTTATCGATGTGATGAATGAGTGACTGATAAACAGCACAGGCGTCGCTGAAGGCCTTATCAGCAGCTTTCTTCTTCATTGAAATGAGAATATTCTGCGTACTCTGGCAATATGCCAATTTAGCGGCTTCCAGGTCCTTATCTGCTTCTTGACGAATATCTTCAGCATGGCAGACGAAGTTGAAGGATTTAATCCGAATAGAATGCGGGATGATACCGCTCTTCTTCTGCTCCTCCATAAAATTGTATTGCTGCAGCAGCGTCCGATACTTCATAAAATGCCTTTTGAAGTCACTGACGGCTTGAGACTTAAGTGTCTTAAAAATGGCTGGTGTAGCCTGCTGATCCAGAAACGATGCGTTAATATCACCGAGAAAATCAAGTGAATCCAGCATGATAGTGTCACGAGTGACAGAGTCCTGGAATTCCTTGGACTGCTTCCTGCTCCGGAACCGTCGTGGTAGCATTAGTAGCCATCGTAACGGGAGTAATTCCAGGAGCGTCAATGGACTTTGCGAGAGTAGCACCAGAAGTGTCAAGACCTCTCTTCTTGCAATGTCGAGAAGCAGAAGGAGACTGTGGAAAGTCCCCTTGGCTGACCGGCTTTTTATCCTGGCCGAGCTGCGAAATTCTTCGCGATGCTCTCAATGGCCTTGGGATAGTCGGGACGCGGTCAGCATTGTTCGTAGTAGTGTTTGTAGTAGTGTTTGATGCGTTAAACGTGTAGCCGGCCATCGCAGTAGTATCAACTGACAGTCCAATGGAACCCCACTTAGGAGGCATGACTTTGCGTGGCAGCAGCTTGTTTAGTAAAAATGTTTTTTGTGTTGGTAGGCTTGCTTAGGACCTTTGTAGAAAAAAATCTTGGTGGTAACTAGTTTCGGCTTTGAGCCTTCTTCAGACCACAAAGGAGAAAAAGAGAAAGCAAGCACCCTAAATACCAAAGCCCGAGGCTCCAACGCAAGGCATTCCTTCGCGGGGCTGGGATGGCAGGGAAAAGCTAGATAGAAACAGTAGAAATGGAATCTACAGTAAGCTAGCACTTATGAGCAGAAATTAGATAATTGCCTACTCGTTTAGGTAACCTCCATGCGATGATGTTTCTTCTTGTAGAAAATACTCCGTGTGACATTGTAACAAGATGACTTTTGAGTCGACTCAAAATGACTTTTGAGTCGACTCAAAAGTCACCAAGCTCGTGTTTGCTGCTGCTGCCCCAGCCTTCCTCTGCAGGAAGGAGAACTTGGGGGGCGGCGGGCTGGCAGGAGAGGGGGGGAAGGGAGCGGGAGGAGGGTGGAATGGGGAAAGCGAGGAGTAGAAGGGGAGGTGGAAAGTGAGGGTGGGATAAAAGCGGGGGTGGACGGGGAGGAGAGATGTGGGGATGGGGGGTAGGGTGAAAAGGGTGGATGTCATGGTGTTGTGGCGGGGGCGGCACGTCATGGTGTTGTGGTGTTGTGCGGTACCTTACGGTGCTGTGGTAGAAGACGAGTTGGGGCGCCTGGAAGCGGAGGTACGTGGGGAAGCCAAACACGTGGATGGGCCCCTCAAAGCCCTTCACGCCCTGCAGGCGGGCAGTGCAGAGGCAGTAGAGGGCAGGTGAGGGCAGTGCAGGCAGGGCGAGCGCAGTGCAGGCAGGGCGAGCACAAGCACAAACAGTGAAGTGCAAATCTTGTATACGGATGTCTATGTGTGTGCAGCGCAAGTGCATGTGAGTGTGTACGCATCACTGCATGTGCAAGCCTCTCTGCATGTGCAAGTCTCTCTGCATGTGCAAACCTCTCTGCATGTGCAAGTCTCTCTACATGTACAAGTCTCTCTGCATGTGCAAACCTCTCTGCATGTGCAAGTCTCTCTGCATGTGCATGCCTCTCTGCATGTGCAAGTCTCTCTGCATGTGCATGCCTCTCTGCATGTGCATGCCTCTCTGCATGTGCATGCCTCTCTGCATGTGCACGCCTCTCTGCATGTGCATGCCTCTCTGCAAGTGCAAGCCTCTCTGCATGTGCATGCCTCTCTGCATGTGCACGCCTCTCTGCATGTGCATGCCTCTCTGCATGTGCAAGTCTCTCTGCATGTGCATGCCTCTCTGCATGTGCAAGTCTCTCTGCATGTGCAAGCCTCTCTGCATGTGCAAGTCTCTCTGCATGTGCATGCCTCTCTGCATGTGCAAGTCTCTCTGCATGTGCATGCCTCTCTGCATGTGCACGCCTCTCTGCATGTGCACGCCTCT